AAACCCGACACTGCACCCACCGAAACAAGGCACAAGGAAGTAATTTGAAGGTTAAGGTGTCCTGGAAAACATTTGCAGTAGTAAGATCAAATTGCGTTAAGAAAGGAGGAAGCAAGAACAAGCTCATATGCATTTTTCTTCTAAATAGTTTTTGAGAGAATGTGTTTAATGCTTGTGGAAGACATCAGACCAACAGCAACACCCTTAGTCAACAAAACAGCACAAGCCTCCCCCACCTGTTAGCACCCCACACACCTGCTGGGCTAATTGCAAGGCTCTGCACTGCCAACGGGATCACCCGTGCCAGAAACCTAACACAATCCATTAGCACTAGGGCAAGCCAAAGGTGCAACACAAGCTCTGTTTTTGATGACTCGTCAGTTTCCCACACCAGTCTCACCATTAAAGACTGTATCCCCAGTTGTCATTTGTACCTGAGCCACGTAGAGCACAGGTATGAATCCAGGTACGCATGCAGGTACGGGATTCTGGAAATGTTAGCTACACTTCACTCAGGTGTCAGCACCTTCTCGCAGGAGAAAGCTATCAGATCTGCCTATGTCTACAAAAAGCTTGTGAGGTGCGCACCGGTCCCATTTTCCTACCACTGAAGACATCTCTGCTGGCCAGTACAGCAAGTACAAAGTCATAGTGTGACGCGTTTTCAGGACCTCTCTGCTCAGAACCGCAACCAAAAAGCTGGAATAGACTATCCAAAACATTTCATTCTTTACCACCTTCTTTCTTTTTTACTTTAACTTGTACCACTTCTCATACACTAAAGGTCCTCTCAAAAAGCTTCACAGAAGCTGCTTACAACCTAGTGATTTCATACAATTTCTATCCACTTCTTTCTGCAGTAGACGAGAGTACAAGAGCACATCACAGGCGTGAGGCAGGCTGTACTCTGAGAAGATGGTGCAGCTTTATGTTATATGTTGGTTTAACTTACACATGTGGGAAAGCAAGGATCAACTAAAGTTTAGGAAAAAGATTCCAACTGCTACTGCAGTAAAAAAAAAACAAACATAACTACAGCAAACCCCACCAGAATTCTCAGTTCAATAAATGAACGACATCCAAACATTAATGTGTTCATTTTTTAAAAGCCTGAAGCATTTTAAGTTGCACACAGGCACCTTTGGGACAGCAGCCTTCTGTACCTCCACACTTCAAGAAACGCAGAGTTTGAAAAACAGGCCAGCCAACAGGTAACACTGAGCACGCAAAGCACCAGCTGCCAAAGTCCCAGTGCATTTGGGCCAGCAGAACATGATGTCCTGGACTCAGCGCGGTCTCCCAAAAGGTGAGATGCCCAGCTCAGCTGCATGAACTCCCTGAAACCAGGTGATTTTGCAGATCCACTCTCACACAGATTTTCATCTTGTAGGTTTAATTCAGGGTGGGATGACAGCTCCCATTCCTGGTTAAGCATCCCTTGCCCTTTGTTCCCTCACTCATAAATGACACCAGTCTCTCCAGCTCTTTCCTTTTCCAGGAAAGCTGCTGTACTGCTGTCTTGTAACATCAGAGGAACAGAACTTGGCGACAGGTACAAGCTGCAGTTTCAAGTTCAGTCTCATCGAGACCATTGCAAATCCACCTTTCCAGTTTAGAACTTGTTACACAGGTTGAGCTTACTGCTAGGAAAACCTCCCAACCCAACCACTGGGAGCCAGGTTTGAAACTGCCTTAAGAGCTCACACCCCCGAAAGTGCTGTTCGTTTTATCTCACAAGTTACTTCAATATGGAAGTGAACAACCCTAGTGCTGCTTTAGGCGTGCAGGAACAGCGTCAGAGGAAAAGGGCTGACTTGATAGCAGTCACACTAGCTACAGTTTTTGTTCTAAAGCTTCCTTTTTTTCTGCTAAGGTTTGCATCCTCTGATACACCTGCCTTTGGATATCTCCAGAAGACCCTTCTCTACAGTGATCACACACGCCAAAGAAATGTGCCTCCCAGAAGAGCATGGAACACCCATCTGACACCTCTGACTTTACAGACACAACACCGCTGCTGAGGGTTCAGTGTTCTCCAGGTTTTAGAGGTGAGAAACTGAGGGAGACAGGATGCACAGAAATGCTGCAGCGATGCAAGACCCAGTCATCAGCTACAGCCAACAATCCACACAGACAAACTCTGCTTTCCAATATTCTCGTACTCACTTCACAGAAGCCATGATTTCCTGTTAACGAACACTGCCGTTTGATGAAACAAATCACAGCTTTCTCCCAGCCACTCCTGCCCCTGAACAGTCAATTGGTCAATTGATGAAAGTTAATTTTAACAATGCAAAAGGTAAAAAAAAAAATTATGTGTGTAGGGGGAAGGCAAGCTCCCAGCCATATCATCCTCATCTTCACTTTGCAATGTAACTGCATGAACACTTGGCACCAGACAGACAGCAGGGTCATCAGGGTCAGGACAAATGGCCGGGACTGGAGAGGCCAGGCTGCTCCTCTCCAAGCCCACGCCAGCTGAGCAGCATTTGAACGGCTCCTGCATTTCCTAGAGGATCCTCTCGGAGTCACAACTGCCCAGAAATTGAGTTCGACAGACCGCAGCAGCCCACAACAGAAGTCATAGGAACAACATTTCACATCCAGTTCGGGTTTTCTGTTTCTTGACAAGAGCCCAGGCAGGTCCGGGCCTCGCTGTACGCTGTGGGGCTTACTGAGCACCCAGGGAAACGTGCTGTAAATCACTCAGCCAGGCCAGGCCAGGCCACGGCACTTAGTGAGCCAGCTGGACTTCACACTAGAGGCCCCAGCAAGAGCAGAGATCCCCCCAAAGTAAGAGCTGGACACGTACACCAGTGGCCACAAGACCTAGCCTTAAAAGCCTTAAAAAACTCAGGGAGCAGTCTGGCTGAGAGGAGAGAGGGAACAGACCTCCTACCTCCATGCTGCTTTCACGAACACCCCCACCTTACATCCTCATCATGAACCGCTTTTCTTTTTGTTCAGAACTACCTAAAAGCCCACCCTGAAGGTTCATTCGCTTCTCCTGCCCCCTTGGGAAGGGCCTCCCCCGGGCCAGCTGGGACAGTGGCCAGCAGCCCTGTGGGGCCAGAGCCCCAGGGTTCATTACCAGGCCAACACGAGACACCTGGGCAGAGCTGTGAGCCTCCACCTCCCCGTGCCCAGCACGGCTCTCCTCACCCAGCACAGCCCTGAGGAGTCCCAGCCAAAGGGATGTGCAATGCCAAGAAGTCAAAAATCACAGTGGGATTAGCTGTTCATACAGACGCAGCAGGCACGGCCAGAACAACCAGCATTAATAACAGGAGTGTTAGAAGGGGAATTAAGCCTCACGTCTCTGGGACTAAGCTGGTTTAATGATCAGAGGCCAATATGCAGGGGCTGAAAATGGGAAACTACTCCACTTGCCTCTCAGCCTTCAGGGCTGGCCAAATTCAGGGTATCAGCAGAGCTTTGGTGTCTTCAGGACTCTCAGTTCAAACAGCACTTTTGGTAGCTGAGTCCCTCCACCTCACCGCCCCCTGAGGCTGCCAGGAGCTGCAGAGACTCCAGAAAAGTTATCACAACATCACTTTGCACATAAACCCACCTCGCTTGCCCTCTACCTTACCCCCAAGGATACCACCAAAGCACAACTGCATTGAGACTCAATGTGACAATTTAATCAAAAGCCTGGCAAATTGGACATTTGATGAAGGGAAGACAGAATTCCTGAGAAGAAAGCAGTCTGCAAAAAACATCAAGCTGCAACTCCAAACTCCACAGGCTTTACACAGCTCACTCTCCATGCTGCCTTTGTTTACACAGTAGTAGATCCATGTGCTCTACCCAGTCTCCCACACACAGCGCACCGCACGTCCTCCCCTACTCATCCCACCCACAGATAAACAGGCTCGGAAACAAAGCTGGAGCAGACAGCTGTGGAAGCCCTGAAAGAAGGACAATGCTGTTCCCTGTGGGGAAGCAAAGACACTCACATAAATGAAGCTGTCTGCTTGGGGCACTGCTCTTAGTCTCTTGAGGACAGGATCAAGTGTGTGCCTTATAATTAGGTATTTGTGTAACACATCCTTATTTCTACCCACTGAAATTACTAATAGCTTAGTTAACTCTCCCTATTTTTGTTTAAATCAGAGTCATTCCTGTTGGGTAAAAGAGCCTGAAATGCAATTCACACTGACAATGTAAAGCAGCCTTACTGTAAACACATACCTGGCCCTTCACACCCCTTCCAATGATCAGAAACAACAGAAAGGTCAACCTAGGATGCACTTCTGCAGGGGACAGAGGCATGTTACAGCTAGAGGGTGGGAAAGTTTGAGACAGTGCTACTGGCCTAAAGGAATTTTGGTTATTAATTGCATCAAAGGCACCCTCACTGCAGCACGCTGCAGTGAAATCCAGACAGGCCTCGTTCCCTCCTCACGCAACAGGGCGCTGTGCAGTCACCCTGCCATGTTTATTGATAAGGCTCCAAGAGTTTTGTGTTAGTCAGGCACATGCAACCAACCATCAAAAATCGGATCTATAGTACAGGTGGTTTTAAACTAGACACAGAAGCACACGGCCTAGAAAATGCAGGGCAGCTGGCAAGGCGCAGAACAGGCTCCAGAAGCTAACCTCAAGTTAGCATCAGGAGGAGACAAGGATTACAACACGCTGCATTAATACAGAGGAACATTTTAACAATATGAAAGTAATCAAGGACTAAGTGACTGAAGGCAGCCCCTACAACCATCAGGCCTCAACCCTGAAAGCTGCAGGCAGTTTTTAAAGGAGATGTTACCAAAGAACCCCCGTGACTCCAAATACCTAAGGTACTTCCACAACTTCAGGCACACACCTGAAGCAGTAAAGCAGTAGTTGCAAAAGCTCTCCCTCCAGGAAGCCCACTTCTCAAAATCGCACAGCCCTAAAGGCAGCAATAAGCACATTAAGCACCATCTGAACTGCCATGATTAAGTGACTTCTCAGATTGACTGTTTAATACAGCTTTGTTTGTTTGCTTTCCTTCTTACCTGCTGATGTTGCCTGGCTCCCGCTGTGATAGACTTGACAAGAGTATCTACTAATGGCTTACACATGATCTGCAACAAAGAAAGACCCCGTCTCTTATTAGTGGTTGGCTGACAGGTTTATTTTTCAAGCAAAACAGTCTGTATTTTACACAGCTTCTTGAGTCGGAAGAAAATACCACAAGAAAATTGCCCAGAGATCAGCAACAGCTTATTTGAAAATTAACAGCTTTGCTCACACCAGCCCTGAGCAAAATCTAGATCATGATGAAGTCAGCAGCAAAACCCTTAACTTGGAAAAATAATGCAAAGATTTCACCTCCTGTGTTCTGCCTGGTTCTTGATTTAAGTCTGCATCTGCCTGACACTTTATGTAGGCAGTCCACTTTGCAGAGAAGAACAGTCCCAGAGGCAAAGGAGAACATGCTGAGTTCGGCTGGAGATGACGTTCTCTGACGTGACCTTGGGAAAAGATCTGAACCCATGTGCTAAAGGGGCCAGAAACAACTGTGGCAGGAGGAAAGCCTCCCTGGAGACAGATGATCTTAAAATTGTCCCCTGCAACAAGTCTTGATCAAAACAACCTTTCTACAGGGGCAATTATCAGCAAAGCTTGACAAACCTCTCTTCTGGCCTAATCCACCAATTTCTATGTTCATAGGCAATATATTTCCAAACTGAGGGGCATGAGGAATCCAGACACAAGGAATAAGAAAGCATCTGGTTTGCAACTACTTTCCTGGCATACCTCTAACGTCCTCTATCAGGCACTGGCAGGTCTGGCCCTGGCAAAGCACGGTCAGCACTCTGCTGCACAGTTCACTGGCACATTGTGCAGATGGTTATTCCAACCACACCACCCAAAATGGCTTCTTTTTGAGGTAAGACGACTACTAAAAGAACAGATAGCTCTCACAAGTGGGCAAAGCCCAGCTTTAAACAGGCTAGTATCTATGTATATCATTACCTTTGTTTTATAAAAGGGATGAGCTTCAAGATTTAAAAAAAAAACCCCACATTTCTGCAAGGAACAGTCACATGGAATCCACAGGCTCTAGAAACCTGCAGGTGGGATCTTAAGCTTGCTGTCCACATGGGCAGCACACAATCCTTCTCTCCCCCTATTTCACTAATTTATGTAGGTGGCATTGTGGGCTGGTGTCCTAAGAAACCTGATACGCAAAAGAACTCTCTCCTGGATGGATTTCCTCAGAGTCTGAAAGCCTCTTCCCCCAGTTACACAAGCCTCTGTCTCCTCCCACCCTCCCATCAGACATCAATCCCACAAGGTTGCAGCCCTTCAGAAAGGGCTTCTGGCAACTCTTTCTACCTCACTCTGACCTAGAAATCCCTGTAGAACTGTATGACATTCAGACTCAAGGTTTGTTTCTTAAAAAATGGCTGTCCTCATCATGGAGACCAGCTCCAGGTGCAGGTCAAGTTTGCAAGAAATACCTCAAACATTTCAGACACTGACACTGTCTGAACATCCAGCTTGCAGATTAGATTCCAATTAGGCTCTACGCTCTAAGCCTCCTTGGAAGAAAACTGAGAAATGGAGCCTGCAGGCAAAGCAAAGCTGCACAGGAGCTACCTTAGCTGTTTAAATAAGCTGGCACCTTCTGCCTTTGTGCAAACCTTGCTCATCCACATTGTCTTCAAGACAGGTAAAAAAATCATACCTTCCTAGGCTATGCTTTAAAGAGCAACCACAAACCGATCCAAACCACAAATGAGACCCTGGCCTTATGTAGTGTTGCTATCAAAACACACAGTACTAAGAGTCCGAGCAGGTGAATAAAGTCTGCAATAAAGTGGAGAGGTTTCTCTCCCTACTTTCCCCATTTGGAGCCATCAATGACAACGCACCACGCAGTCAGCAACACTTACCGGGAAGCGTCTGAAGAGATCATTGAACATGGAGCTTGTAAGGGCACTGTTCCGTTTAGTCAAGAACTGTGTCAGTGCTTGCCGATATAGTACAGTCACCCTGTCCATATCCAAACAACCTGTGCTCAAAAGCTATAGGGAAAAAGCAGAACAAAATTTCCAGTGAAATGCGAGGATGAATCACTGGCAATGCAGTCATTCATTCTGACCAGGGCACACATATTTTTCCGGCTCCTAGATATTCTTGGGGAGTTTATATGGCACAGGCCTACGAGATACAACACAGAACCATGAAGAAACAACAAAGTGGGCCCCAAATGTGCTCTCCCAAGTACTGAGAGGTGTATGACCATGTTAGTGAAGGCCAGCACAGCTTTCTAGGAGGACTACACACATTGCATGTTGTGTGGTGTGGGGGCTGTATTTCTGGGTTTGTGGGGACCATGTCTAACACCTATTAGGTTCACAGAGCGCTCTCAGACCATCTGGCAGCAGCCGTGCTGTGCACATGGTATTTTTTGCTGTAGAGCTATCTGAATGCGTAGATATTAGCGTATGTAGAGATCTAGATCTCCATACACTTAGCAGCTACGTCCAGGATTTCCCAGCAGACAAGCCCTAGCTCTGCTCAGGGATCCAGCAATCCCAGAACTCTGTAAATGCTCTGATATCCCCCTCTCGTGGGGAACGAGAAACGCAGACATGCAGCAACCAGCTGAGCCCTGCACGGGCCATACGGATCTAAACAACACGGGGGTGAATGAAGAGCGAAGCACGGAGCATCGCATCCCAACATTCCTGACTCTTCCCATACTGCCAGGGAAGCACAGGTGTCTGGGAAGAAAGTAAAATTAAGGCCCAGGAGGTCAAAGCTATGATCTTCACAATAGTGGATGAACCTCTGCCAAAGCACTTTTTCATGGCCCCATAGCAAGTTAAAGCCATGTTAATGTTGTGTCCCATCCTCAGGTCGATCTCCCAGTGCTACTGCAGCTGAACACAGGCTAGAGTGGAACAGGGGACATGGATCTTGAAATGCAAGATCCCAGTTTCCTAGTGAAGTGTCTACACTCAAAACTTGTTTGACATACACATCTGCAGGGAAAAAAAATTATTACTCCTCCTATGCAGTTGTTTACTGTAAAAAAATTTCTCCTGTCATAACAGGGTTTTCCCTAAATTTGGCCACTGCATCACAGGGGCTGCTCTAGCTCCACTTTGCTGCTTACTGCAAAGCTCCAGATTACACTCACAAAGCACTGCTCACTGGAAACACATCACACCTTTGTCCCTGGCTCCCCACTGCAAAACCTTCCCAGCCTCAACACAATGTCAGCACCAGCAGCATCGCACAAACTGAACTGTGTCACTGCCCTCAAATCAGCAACTCACTTCAGCTGCTGGCTGTGTCCTTGGCTGGCCAAAACCACAGCTCTGTTCCGGCAGGAATTCACAGCTTCCCTTCCCTGTGAAGCTGCACAAGGATGCTGTGAAGCGTGTCTCACTCTAGCCTCAACGTCAAGTATGTTGTTTATATTCCCCACAGATCTCCCACTTTGCTTTTCTTTCCAGAAAGGCCCAGCACAGAACAAAAGCTGCTTGTATTAACACTCTCAGTCCCTCACTAAGCCTTAGAAACATTGGCTATCTTTTCAGCCACTAGTAATACCTCAGTGTTTGCAATTTCGAGGCCCTCCTTTGTCATGAGGTAGCCCTGTTTATTCTCCTCCCCCACACAATGTCAACAGGATTAAGACACTATTTCCTGCACCCAATTTGAGAGGTTCAGAGGCAAGTATCAGGCCAGCTGATGAAACTACCTGCTAGGTTTCTAGTGGAGGTGACTGGGATGGGCTGCCCAGTTCATAGGGTCACCAAATTCAGAGACCTGTGAAATTCAGCAGACAGTAGGTAAAAAGGAACCAGATACTAAGTGTCTCCAAGTAATAGACACTGACAGCACAACCCGATGAAGGGTTTCCCTGCAAACAACTACCACTGGAATCAGGGCTGCTCCACACTCTTCACCCTGAGATAACTCAGCCCACACCTCAGAGATAGGAGTTCACTCTCATCCACCGCTGTCCTGTGCCTCCCTGCTCCTCAGCACCCACAAAGAAAAGAACTCAAGAGTAACTGTCAAGAGGTTGTCAAGAGGTTGACAATGGAAAAAACAGCGAATCAGCCAGAACAGCATAAATATACATCAGGCTTCTTAGGCAATTACCCTGGATCCACTGCACATCAGCAGCCCCTGATGGCTATGGGCAAGCAGGCACTGCAAAAGCAGGGGGTGAGGACCAGAAGGAGATGGGGAATGTGACAGCTTTACGTAAATCACGTAGACAAGTATCTGCAGGCAGCAGGAACAGTGAGACTGAACAAGCAAAGCCCACTCAGCAAAATGGAATAATGCAACTTCACTGGCAAAAAACACCGCCTCAAGAGCAGCCTGCTGTCTTACCTGGCTAGCCTGCGGGATGGCGTTGCTCTGTTTCTCTGGCAGAGGGGTAAGTGGTGTTGGTGACTTATCAGACACGTTTCCTTTCAACACTTTGAGCAGGTATAATGAGGCACTAAAAAAAAAAAAGGAAAAGGGGAGAACATAGCAGTTACCACAGTGTCACAGCGCCACTGCAAACCACCTGAGGGCAGAGGCCCAGTGATGCAGGCAGCTTATTCCATACCAAGGGGGGTAACCAAGGAGTCCAAGGTAGTCCCTTCTCTCAGCCTAACCCACTCCTGCCAGACCTAAAGACAAATAAAACTTAGGACGCTGCATCATTTCATTATCTGTCACCGCAGTCAGATATCCCCACTAACAGCCTGGTTTCCTCAAACTCATGCTGCTTGCTATCAGTTTTGCCTAGCACTGATTGAGGATTTCTGCATTTGCCCGGGATTTCAGAGCCTGCACAACTCAGCCAGCACTGCACTGCAGCCCTCTCAGCCCAGGCTGCTGCATGCCTGGAGAATTCAGGCAGAACAACTCAGAGAGCATGCAGACACGCTGCTGCTTTTGTGAAATGCTGCATTCACTGGGCACGGCTCTGCCAGGAAGCTGTCAAGGAGCCACAAAGCACACAGAGCAAGCCCCGCACTGTCAGATTCATCCACAGCCACGGGCCAGGCGTGCTGCAGATGGCACCGGGCTGATCACACAACATGGACCCACTGCATACTGAGCTGTGTTGAGAAATCCCAGACGGCGTATGAAAGTCTGAAACTGCCTCCAAGTCACAAGAGAGCCTACTGGTAAATGACACTCCCATTTACACCAGGAAACAGCAAGATTACCCATTTCCTAACAAACACACAAGTGGCTTATCCTAATTCACCTGTATCACTGGCAAAGGAGTGAATATTGGTACATACAGTCAGGACCCACAATCATTATTGTCCTCATTGTGCTATCGTAGATACAGGAAACCAGAGTATTTACAGAATGATAATTTCCGATGGGCTATACACTCATCCCCGCACTGAATCACACACAGTTCATTACTTCCCGATTAAGCCTCAAGGAAGCACTTCCCACCACCATCAGCAAAGCTGCACCAGACCATTCCTGTTTCACAGAGCCCATAGAAGATGATCACCAAAAAACAGTTTGGAAATGTTTCAGACTGCCGGAGTAACTGACTAGGCCTCATGTAAGACACAAATGCTGGCACCCAGCCCTCATCAAGTCTCTTGCTTCTCTGAACTGTTTTAACGTGCAACACTATGCCTGCTTACAGATAAGCCCACAGCACAGAGTAGAAACGCTCCTTTTTAACACTCACCTGAAATAATAGAGAGCCACTGAAGAGTCAGTGTGCTTGCAGGCTTTTTTCACAAGCCTCTCCACAAAAGCGTGCAAATCTTCTTGCAGGGCATCCACTCTCTTGCAGTACTGCTTAGTTCGGCACAATGAGTTCCTGAAAGAGCATTAAACACAAACCCAAAGCCATTAGCTACAGAAAGAGCTCTGGGGAGCAGATGGTTATGAACCTTTGTCACTGGGCTCAGAGAAACACATAAACAAAACCAGTGCTAGCAGGGGGCAGCAGAAGAGGCAGTCATTGCTGTGGCACAAGGGTGAGGAGACTTACTGCTCTTCGCTTTCTAGCAGCTATTTAGGCATCAGAGTCAACTTCCCTCCAGAGCTCACACCAAGGGACCTGGCTGCCCCAAACCCTGTTACTGTGGAACTGCTTCTCAACAGGGGTTAGCGAGCAGCACTGACAATGCTTTAGAGCCGAGCGGAGGATGTCAGGGAGTGGGGAACAGTGGACACAGCATGTCACACAGCACGCATTACGTCTGTCTAGCTTGTATCATGCCTCACTTCTGGCCGTGAACAGAGAGAATTTGCACTCTGCCTGTCTCAATAATAACTTGGTGGGAGTTTCGCTCCAGCTACAGCAGCAACGCTGTAAGCCTAGGGAGTTGTTGACTTGTAGGTCAGAGGCCTGTGGAGATATTCAGTGACACGGCACCATGCCTGCAATGCCCATGTTTGTTCTTAAGGCTTCCATCTGCAGACAGGTTTGGCACTTGAAGTCCCTTAGGCGAGAAAACCTAAATCCTAATTTCCTTCCTGCAGGTTGTGCACGTGTGGTGCTGGTAACATTATTCTGCATAACCTATAAGCACAGCAATTGTCTTCAATCTTAGAAAGATCAACTTCTGGGATTCAACCAACCCCACTGGTGTCTATCAAAAGCCATTGCCTGTTACCTAGGGACTAAGAACACTTACTTGAAGATATTGGCTGTTTTCTGGAGGAAGTCAACCTCCTGCTTGTCAGAGTCTGAGCTCATGCACTGTTCAATCACCCGAAGCAGGGGCTCAATAATGTCAAACACCAAGGGGTTCTCTGACTGCTTAGTCAGGAACGCTTCAACCAGATCCAGCACCTGCAAACACAGAGTTACTGATGTGAGAACTAATGCAGACAGGGCAATATGATGGATCCATCCATAGCTGCTCCTTCAGACTGGAATGCGCTACACAGCAGCTGGAGGCAGCTGAAGAAAACTATTTGAAGCTGAGATCTGTACACCTTCTGCTATCATTTGTACTGCTACGGCATGAGAAACTGAAAATTAAAAATTTGAAACTGCAGCTTAAAGGCTGCCTGTTGACTTCAGCCTATTCTGTGCAGTGACACCATTTAGAAACAGCAGTTATGAGAATCACTGCCACCTGGCCAGACCTGCAGTCACTATACCTTGGCACATATCTCTGTTAGCACCACTGACCGATGGCTCCCCCCCCGCAAATCTTCCTTGACTTCCAGCCAGTGCACTAGCACGAAACCAGACTCTTACTCCAATTTTACATTGGAGTGAAAATGCAGTAAAGTCAATGGCTCGCCACACCATTCAGCCTTCATCTTGGCCAATCTGACACCAGACATTTCTATACATGAGCGGCTGGAGCTGTCCCTGGATGCTCGAATATCCCGGCTAGTCCATGCTGACACCGGGTGGCCTGTAATCAGTATTGCAGTCACACATAGCCAGGGAACGTTAACCATAATCCCCCTGATCTTATCAGCGTAACAAGCTAAAAAAAAAAAACTACGCTACAAACTTTCCAGAGGGATTTTATGCATGTCACACTAAGGCACATCAAGCTTGTCCAGTGTACAAAAAATCAACCAGCACCTACCTTCAGGTAGGTGTGGGGAAGGATCCAATAAACTGAAGCATTTCAGACCAGCAAATGGAAACCATGGTTCAGCACAGTCCTGTTTTTTGTTTTGAAGTAGGCATGTGAAGCCCCCACTCACTGACCCTGATCTTGCTGTGCCAGGTGCTGTACAAAGCCAGAACAATCCAGTCCCACCCTCCAGGAGCTTATGACATACACAGGTGTCCAAGCTGTTTAGTGCTAAGTAACTCATGGCACGCAGTAGGCTACAACTAACGTGCCAGTAAGCCAGACACCTTCACACCAAACACTTGTCTCCCACCTTAATCTTGAAATCCCTCCGTAGGATCTTCTCTTTCCGCATCCTGTCTTTCTCATCCTTCTTCGCCTGGATCCGTTTCTGCTGCTCCGCAAAAAGGGCTGAGATGTTCTTGTCAAGAGCCATCATAGCCTCATCATCCAACTCTTCATCACTCTCATCACCTTTCTTTTGTTTTTAGAATGCAAAAATGACATATCATTTCATGTATGTCAAAAAGAGAACCACAGCCAAGAGCAGACGCACAATCACAGTAGGGATGTAGCTCCCTCTAGACCCAGAATAGCAACATGGGGAGGGAAAGCAGATGCTCAGATCAATGAGAAATCTAGCTCACATTTCCTGTCAGGTAGTCCTCACTGCACAGTACTAACACGCAGAGCTAGAGGATGGGGAGAGGAGAGAGGCCGAGGTTTCCACACTGACTCCCTCTGTGCTGTTGCTCCTTCAATGAAGAGGTTTATATGTTGTTATGTCTGCAGCCTTCACAGGAATCATTAAACCACACTCCATTGCTGCTACAAGCAGCCTCCAGAGTGGCCTGCAGGGACCACACTCCTCCAGCCAGGCCAGCCAATACAGGCACCATGTAACAGGATTTCAGGGCTTTAGTTCACATCAATCTTATTCCTTACAGGGAGGAATACAAGCTGTATCAGGCTAAACTGGACAAGCTAAAGCACCCAAGACACACCAACAACAAATAAAAAATCAAGTGACTTATTCCCACAGCTTGCTTTGAAGATCTTGACCTCCTGCTTCAAATGTCATATAAAGATGACTGCCACGGTTACCGCCGCAGGGGCTCAGGCAGGATATGGGTATTAGATAATCTTTCACCACCCCAAACCTCCTGGTATCTGCATCAAGGTAGGCAGTGAAAACATACCAAAGCCTTCCCTGCTTGGAGAACATTCCTCAGCTGACTGCGAAAATCCTCATCAACTTCTTCATTCCTTTCCTCATCTCCACTGTCATTCTCTTCCTCAGTGTCGTCTTCATCTGAGGAGTCCTCACTTTCTTCTTCATCCTGAGGAAGAGAAGTTCATCTCCTGCCCCCACCATTCTTCAAGCCCTACTTAATTCTCAGGTGTGCCACTGTCCAGAAGCAAAAACTCAAGACTCCCCTCATCCCACCACCTTGCTTCCAGCCCTCAGATTCAAGTAAAGACACCTCAGATACGGAGATACTGGGCCTTCACAAGAGCTAAAAGTAGAACATAACACAGACTTCTCTGTCATACTGAATGAGTATCAAAGAGAAGCTGCCAAGGAACATCTGAAGTAACAGCCCCCATCTGACTCTCCTTTCTGCTAATGCTTTGTGACTGGAAACTCTGCAGTTCTTAAAACCCGAGATCTTGAATTGAGATGGCTGTGCATCACAGCAACGAGTCTGTGGCGGCAAACAGGAGAGGTCCGTGCTAATTTCAGGATGCAGTCACTTCTCCTCAGAAAGTCATCTACTCAAACACCCACACCTATAACAGCATTTTCCTTCAAGGCCAAGAGACCAATAAACACAGACTTCCAACAAGCCATCTGTGTGTTGCTCTTTTAAAATAAAACTTAACAGAGCAACAGCCATTTTACTCAAGACAGAGAAATGCAATTAAGGTCCGTTACCACAGATCAGGAGAAACACCACTTTTAAACAGTGAAGGTCTGAAGAGTATTTGTCACCGGCATTGGCATGTCACTTACCATGTCCTGTGCAGATTTGACCTTTTTGTTCGATTCTTCCATCACAACAACAGCACTTTCTTCATTTTGCTCTTGGTACGGGTCAAGAACCTGCAAAAAAGAGGGAACTGTGTTTTTTCAGTGTTTTGCTTGGACACATTTCTTGTGTACAACAGACAGGAATTCTGGCACGGTAAGCCAGCTGAATACTGAAATAGTAATTAAAGGCATTCAACTTTCTGGCTTATAGTATCATGTTTGTTAATATGCTAAGTTCCTTCTATAAGTAACAAAAAAGGTTGAGAAAACTAAGAGGCTGGTGAAATAACACATTTTGTTTTCTTACAAATGAAATACCAGGTTTATCACATAAAGTACCTCTCAGCACATCTTTGTAATCCACATATTGCTGTCTCAGAAGACACCCCCTTACTCAGTGGTATGGCCAATTCAGATTTTCAGTGTCACTTATTTTTAGCATCTCTATGCTTAGCCTTTCTAGAAAAAAGAAGTTGTTACCATTGATATTCACATACAAAATCTACCAGCTATATAAATGACCATGGAATTTCTTCAGCTACCAAAGAATACAGCTTCAAATTAGTAGATCTCAGGCTCCTATTAAAAAAACCTAAACAAAAAAACCTAAACAAAACAAAACAACAAAAAAAAAACCCCACACAAAACCCAACACCTCCTCTCTAAAAGCTACATTTAAAATTCAGTAGCACACATTGTCAGACATTTTCTAAATCAAAGAGGCTTTTACTTAATCCCAAAATAGAGACATGCATAAGACAAGCTAACAGTACAAGGCCCTACTAGTGCCTCACTTACATCCAGAATCAGCTGCAAGCCCCTCTTGGTCAGACTAGGGCATATCCGTACAAACACACTCTTGGAAATCCGACGTATGAGGAGGCTGGGCTGGGCAAGGAGGGAGAGAAGGATTTCCACCATCACCTCAACCCATCCTGGCTCTGCGTTGTCTGCACAGGAACATATAAACAATGACAGGAACGGGCAAAATCACTGCACTGGCACGTCAATAAGAGACTAGAAAAATTCACCAAGGAAACATAGATAGTCCTTCTAGCTGACTATCAGAAGTACTCATTCAGCAACACAGACCAGAAATAATCAAGTGTGAAGCTAAAGATTGTAGCGGTATTGGAAGGCTACTAACTGTAGGGAGAAATATGCTTGACATTATCTTCAGGCCATTGCAAAGCCTCACCAGGTAACAAAACCTACTATTCATCAAATCGTTACTTGGTTTAGCTGCTGTGCAAATCATGCGATGCCTACTTGGCCATGCTAAAGCAACCAGCAGCTAGTCAGCAAACGCACAGACATTTCATAGTGTTTCCAACTAAATCACGAGTCACAGCAGCCTATGGAAAGTGCTGACATCTGAAACTGGTCCAAAAGCTGAGGAATCCCACCATAGACTTACAGCTTTTCTTCTCACAGTGCCCTCAAATTTACACAGAGATTCAAGGAGAACAACAAGACCACGGTTAGAGACAAAGTCAAAAGACCAAACCAAGTTCTCTCCTGGTCAAGTTACAGCCCAGCTCTGCAGGCCCTAAACGAGGACTAGTGTAGCTCAGCAAACAGGACACATGCAGTTTGTCCAGAACTTGAGCTCTGAAAATATCAAACTTCAGGTCTGTCAGCTCTTAGGAGAGCCCACAGCTTTGCCGGACAGATACCACCACTTCAGGCAAGCTCTTGGCCAGAACAAGGACTCGAAAAAAGAGTGAACTCCCTTGGACACTGCTCATCTGAACAACAGCCAGCTCTGAACCCACCTATCCTTTAAGAGGCACACAGGAACACAACCCACTGAGGATGCGGACAGAGAGCTGCAGCAAGAGACAAGAGATTAGGAAGACAAGGAAAGAGAATGGAGGAGAGAGGATTCTTCTGGGGATAAGTGCATCAAGCCAGAACTGATGCAGACAGAGTGCTTCGCTAAAGCAGAACTGCCATCTTCCATCTTTCAACAGACCATTAACAACCCCACTCCATTTCTTTCTGTAGAAGGACTCACCAGTCTTTTTCTTCTTCGGTTCTTTGCTGAATGCCCTCTCTGTGCAGTTCAGAAGGTCACTCAGAACATCCATTGTTTCCAACGGATTCTGTTTGATCACAAGCAGACAGTAAACACCCTCTCTGAATTCCCCACTACCAACAGCAACAGAAGGAACATACCCCGAATCGAAGGGCCTCACTAAATAGGTACAGATATTAGAATCAGCTACTACAACCCCTTTGCAGACTAAAATATGAAACGAAGTAAAAATTGCTCTAGTCAGCAGCAAATCAAGGGCGAAAACACAATGTTCAGGCCAAGCTTTGCCCCTGTAAGTTGATGTTTACAGTCAGCATAAGAACCATAGTTCATTAACTGCCAGTTGCCCATTTTTAGAAGCCAGAGGCTGTGTAAAATTGGGTCTCTGAACACAAAGAAACTCTCCAGCTCAGTGTTCAGAAAGCCCAGCTATCAGCCCATTTTACACCACTCAAATAGCTTCAGAGGTCTTACCTTGAAAAGATGAATGGCCATTAAAAGCAGAAGTTGCTGGAAAGCAACGACTTTGGCATTGTCTGATTTATTTTCCTTCTTCTGCAGATTCTTCACAGACTGGAGTGTTCTGAAGAAATAAATCCTTTTGAGTCTTTGATAATTGCAACAGCAAATCCTTTCTTATGATCAGGCTAAAAACATGAGAAAAATCTATAGTATTACTTTCTGTACTTACAATTTAATTTATTGAATTTGGACATACACGTAGGATACAATCTTACCCCAACAATAGCATCTCATCTTCTGTGGCTTATAAAAACCTCTGCACTTGGGCACAGGCTAGATTCCTAAGGGACAGACCTTTACGGGAAAGCAAGCTCAGAAAAGAGCACCAGAAAAGAGTCACTGGGAAGTGAGTACAGGCATTATTAGGAGAAAAGATTATCAGAGTTATGATCATGTTTGAGCAAAAATAGGAAAGGACACGGCCACCTACACATAGTTAACACACAGAAAGAACAGGAAGAAAGGAATGGGGTGATGAGAAACAGAGAGGCATCCTGAAACCCAGTTGCAGGTGCAGAATGGTCAAAAGGGAGGAAACAGAACTGCCACTGCTGTGAAATGGCTCAGCTATGGCAGCCAAAACAACAGCACATGATTAGAGAATACAATTTCTCTCTTACTGGCCCAGTCTCACCTCTCCCAGGCATCCCTCTGTTCTTTGGTAAAAGGCTTCACAGCTTTGACATGCTCACTGGAGAGCAGTTTGTCGGCATACTCAACAAGGAGAAAGATCCACAGCTTCCCGTCTGCAGTCACACCGTGGATGTGCTTCTCCCTCAAGGCTGCAGCCTTTGCTGTATCCCCCAAAACAGTCAAGGTGTTTAAAGTCTGAAGTAACCTGCACAGAAAAACCACCAGCATATCAGAGGAACCAGATGGCCTTCTCACACTTTCCAAAATAATGCCCACTTGAAGAGCCCTCCCATCCCAGAGCACTGGTCACTCATTTCAACCCAGACTCACGTGGCCTAAGTTTCAACCCATGCATGTATCTAAGCACAGTAACGTATAGCTCATTGTCTTGGTGTCCCCAAGCACACCTGGTGCCAAGGACACTGATTATTATTCTCTGTTTTTTCCCATTCTGTGTCCCACCATGTCCTCTGCTTTCCTTCTATGGAGGTTGGAGCAGCAGCTTTGGCAATCACCTAAAAGCATCTATGATTACCAGCTCCACCTCTCTTAGTACAGGGAGGACTGCGGAACCACCAGCAGTTTGCAGGCAGAGCAGACAGAAAACCAACAGCAACATGCACAACCCACCACCTCTCTCTTGGGTCCTTCCACTTCTAGCTTGCAACAGAGGCAACGGAAATCTTACAAGAAAACAGTCTGAGCTCAACTCTACACCCACCTGATCATCACACACGTACTCAGCAGGGCTGCCATGTAAAATTATGTTTTTATTGGACAAAACTTAAGGATCTTTGGGAAATCCATCTAGGATCTCCTTAAAAAAAGCCATCCCCTGGTACTGGAGTGACATAAATGCTCCAATAGCTGCTCACAATCCCAAACCTCTTGCCCTGCTGTTCGCTTGCTGATTTTATCCTCAAGAAAAAAAAAAAAAAAAAAAGAAACATTTCCAAGCTTAAAGCACGCAAGAAAAATCCTTACCCAAAGAAGTAGTTTTCTGCCACTGAATGAGCCTCTTTATCTAGGGGCTCTGATGGAAGAACATTTGCCTCACGTATTTGGGAAGTTTTTTTCTTAGCCTCAAAGAAAGCATGGAAGAAGCAAAACCTAGAACGGACAGAAACAAGGACAAAAATTAAGAGCCAGCTTGATCAAAACAAAGCAAAACCAGGCCACGTGTGCAAACGAAATAATGCCACATATTCACCCCATTTTTATTCAAGGATGTCCAAGCACTGAGAAGAAGTCACTGTTTATGATAAGACCCTTTTCTCAACATACACAGGGTAAAGAAGAGAGAAGGATCCTCAGGACTTCACAAAAGTGAAGTGCCAACACTTGAGGCCACACAATACAATACTCAGACTGTCAGATTTGGATCATATTCTCCAAGATTTTTAAGCTGATAAATACGAAGGTCTGATGCAAAGATTAGAAGTAGTATCTTCAAGCAGTCTAGGTAGCAAGGAATCTAAAACTTACTGAAAATAAATGCGACTAAGGCAACTTTAAGTGCCTGAACTACTTATGACAAGAGTTTGTCCAAGTCTGCAGAAGTTATTTTGAAAACAGAACTTAGCCTCCCTAAATGATTTATGTTACGGAATATTTCCGCTACTGAATTTGCCTAGTGTCGTGGGGATAGCTTACTTGGAACATTGCTATAGAGCCAAACAGAATTATTTCAAGCACATGTGGCATTAAGTCTTTAAATTGTTCTCACCTGGAAATGTCCATCACAAGGCTCTCTTCTTTTTTCACTGGACTTTCAATTATGTTAGCAAGTCGGTGGATGATCCATTTTCTTAATCGAGTAATTTTATGCCGTGCCCTTTCAATAAGGAAGTGGACACAATCAGCAGTCTGAACACTAACCCGACATAAATGCAAACCACACACTCCACTGCAGTAAGAGGTGACTTTCAGATATTTAGAGGCTTTACACTAAAGATGGCAAAATTATGTAGTAAGAAAGCAGCAGGTACCTAAGAAGAGATATAATCTTCCCAAGTTTGCTATTTACGACGCAAAAGACAGCCTATTTACCCCACTGAGGTACTGCAGTTTACCAAAAAGCACTTCAAGAATTGCAGCAGTGCACCTGCAAACTCACTCTACTGACAAGTCACACACAGACGCGCTGTTTTAACAGCTTACATCTTCTTTGGAAGTGGCCCCTGCGAGTAACCCAGTACCCACATCACCAAGTCGTGGGTATGCAGCGAGCAGCAGCGCCAAGGAGGATAAACTTTCTCTTGGGAAGTTTTCCTAGATGGAAAGTGCTGCAAATGCCTGTCAAGGATATAAGTATTTACAGGCTGCTCTAGAGATGTGGAAGTGGGTGCTTTGCTGTGGGCCAAGGACATGAGAGCACTCAGGCCAGTTTAACAGTCAGATAAAAGGGACGCACAGCTCCTACAAAGACCTACAAAGTCTGTAGTGAAAAAGGAAGCCACTGGAAATTTTTGTCAAAGCAGCCATCAGGGCTAGAAAAAACAGGAGAAAAAGCTTCTTTGGTGATCCAGCCTGCTTTGGTCAGGCTGGCTGGTTCTCACCGTGTTTGGTCCTATCTGCAGAATTGAATTTTGCCCCAGAAAAAGTGTCACATGCTGGAGGTAAACCTTCTGGGACAGAGGAAATGCAACAGGTGACAATTGTCAGCTCATGGCAAGGGAACCAGCGAAGGTTGGCTGTCCAAACCAGACTTCACAGAGAGAGCTACTCTAACCACAAAACAGAAAGAGAAGAGGAAAGCGCATCATCTACACACTCACATGTTCACATTTTCCTGGTTCTGTTTTTGACGGTTGCTTGAGAAGTCTAAACAACAGTCAAAGTCTGGCCTGAGAAACATGTCTTTGAGCCAGCCAACGTATTTTTGCAATGCCACTGGCTGTAGGTGTCTGACTACCCTGGAGGAGCTGGCCAACACTGGATAGCCTTGATTGGTGAGAGTAGAGAAGCCGATCATCACTGTCAGCTGCCTCTCCGGGTCATCACAGCCGTTCAGAAACTCATCTATATACGCTTCCATCTCTGGAGCAAACTTAAATCGGTCTGGAAGCTAAAAAACATGGTCAAACAAGCAGGTTAGGAACCTCACACTAGTCCGAGTATCTTTACGAGTACGAATCACTTTACAGATTTGACTGCAGTAAGTAAATTAAAAGGTTAGGAACCTCACACTAGTCCGAGTACCTTTACGAGTACGAATCACCTTACAGATTTGACTGCAGTAAGTAAATTAAAGTCACATGCCTGAACATTTGTCACAAGGCTTGCAGTAGGTCATCAATTTCACCTCATGGTCTTCCTCACATAGTAGCAACCATGGTAAGCAACCACAGAATCCTGCCACGTACCAGCTTCAACCCTTTAATTTGCACCTTCCCCAACAGCCACGCTTCAGCAGCCTAGACCGCACGCTGGCCTCTGCAGCTCCTAGGCTGATCCGCTCTTATTCTGGGTGAAAGGCCAGGATGTCTTTCACACCATCTACCTTAGACTTTCCCTTGATTTGGAAACTCTCTCATGTCAATTTCGGTCTCATACAGCAGCCCTGCAGCCTGCTGACCTACAGTGGGAAGAACAAATCCCACCTCCTCTCCCTGGTGTCTCAGAAGCATCAGGCATTCTGAAAGAAGGGGAGTTGACACGTTTCACCTGAAAACCACATCCTGAGGTGTTGCTGTTTCGTGCTAAGTCCTATCCTCAGTCCTGCCACTGATCTGCAAGGCATACAGCAGGCAGGCTGCTGGCCCTGCAACACAGGCTAGCAGCATGCAGATGACGAGGACATGCCCCATCTCACCACATATCCCATTTCCTTATGTTCTTTCATAGCCCAGTGTTCAATCCCACTCATTTGTTCTGGAGAAAACCCAAAAGCTAACTGGAGAAACCTTGAAGGAGGCAAGCTGTGGCTTCATTCCAAAAAATGCAATGCAGCTTTCGTAAATTAATAAAACAATTTGTTTGGTATAGTGTCATGATCAATACAGGGACCTGTTGGGAGCAGAAACAGTAATGAAAGTCTAGGGAACACTGCTCTTTTAAATAAAGGGGCTATAAGTTCCTAGTTAACTACAAATGCATCCAATTCTAACATAAATACCCCCGCAAGTCATCTCACACAAAACACAATTTAGCAAGCTCCTGCTTCCACTGTCGGAGAACTCAGTATTTGTGCATCAGGATGAAAGCTGGGAGAAAAACACCTGCAGAGAATTGCTGTAAACAGGCTAATAACTCATAACAAGGGCTTCATCAATCATCTTTCAACAAAAGCAGCAGAGAATTGCTGTAAAGAGCCTAATAACTCATAACAGGGGCTTCATCAATCATCTTTCAACAAAAGCAAACCAAGTACAGTTGCTCCCTGCTGGTAAAAAAGCAGATTCAGGAAGATAACTGCTTGTAAATATTAGACTCAAGCTTTACCTAGTTCCATCTCCAACAACACCAGAATCGGTAAGAAAGTACAAGATAACAGTATTTGCTTTCCAAAGCAAACAATCCGCATCAACAAACAAAACAAACCCACAAAAACAACAGCAAAGTCAAACTCAGATCCTTCCTACTTCCTCACCATCAACAATATTAGGGGTTCCTCTTTCCATTTAGTCAACCATATTCACTGGTGTTGTACATTTCAGACAGGAATTAAATTTGCAATTTTTTTATGCACAAGAACACAACACAATTCACTGTGCAACAAGCAAGAAACAGGAAAACAACTAAGTCAGCGGACAAACTCTGGAGAAAGTTGGTCCACAGAGGGAGGCACACGGTAAGCATTCTTGCCAGAGCACACCCACACATCTATTGCTGCTTTGATACCAGAACAGAAGGACTGCAAAGTCCTATTCCTCCCAAGAGAGGACAAGGGGTTTTGGGCCCACATGAGGAGGTTTAGGATTATGTTACCACACAAAGCCAAGCCAAAGCCTGTTTTTACCAGTATTCCCCTTTTATTCTCCCTCCCTTTATTGCAGGGCTGTGTTGTTTGCTGGCTTCCCAGGAGGGAAGGAAGTAGTTCCAACATCCAATTCCCAAATAAAATTTGTGCTTAAACCTCAGATGCGCTTATTGAAACAAGCACTAACATAAATAAAAGCATGAGTTGTCCTTTTTTGTCTTTGCTTTCAAACGTTCATGCAACAGCCAGCACAATGACAGACAAAAAGGAGCTTCTGGACACGCAAAATCAAAAGGACTGGTAAAGGATGACATATGACACTGTCAATATGCCGAGCGCTGCCCTTCCTCTGCTTCCCCTCTCGTTAGAGCTTTCTCAGCAACATCAATGAAAGCAGGTGGGTCAGTGCTGAACTATCTCAAAACCCTTCAAACAAGTCTGAATGAAAATACACAAATAGGCAATGATGACTAAACGCAGTCTATACTCAGCCCACTGCAACCTGTGGTCATATAATCATCTTGCTTTTAGTAAGAGTCCAAGGTCTGAAATTACATAAACTTTTTTTATACAAGACGATGTGAAATTAGAAAGGGGGCAGAGATGACTTCTGCTTAGAACAGGGTCTTTAGCCCTGAGCACGAGTACTTTCAGAAGACCCACCTGAGTCGTCACCACATGTTCTCCATAGTGCTGCATCACCTTTCCTTTGAGAACCATCTGTAGCTGGTCCAGAGACAGCAAGGGAAGAGCACTGCCCAGCAACCGGTAGCACATGTAACTGGGTGGAAACAAAGAAGATTCCCTCAGGTAGAGGCACAGCAGTAAAGCCACATGCAAGGGTCAGAGAGAAGTGAGAAATTCATGGATCCTGCATTCAAAAATCCTATAGTCCAAAGATTTTCTTCTGACTAGCACAGCTGCTAAGATTTCTCCCTGTAGAAGGTCCTTCATTGTCTAGAAATAGATGAGTCCTCACCAGCAGTTCCTTCCTCAGTTCACTTTCTGGATCTCTTCACCCCAGATATTTATTTCCGCAGGCCAAATACAAAACTTACTTAGTTTTTGACCATTCAGATTTACCTAATCCAAGTAAAACAAGACTTGAACTGCTCAGGCCTGGGAAATTATTTCCTTTCACTGGGATACTCATGTAATATGTTAAGAAAATTTTTTGTAGGTGCACCTCTACAACTTTTAAGCTCCTGATCTAAAAAAGATTTAAGCCTGGCCACAGAATGCCTTTCTATGGTCCAAGTTAAATTATGCTCCCCCAAAATGCTCATGCATTTGTCTTACAGATTTTACAGCACTTTTATACAGCATGAGTCTCAACAGACAATTTAAATAATCCTAAAATCTACTATTAGACTTGGAAAAGGAGCTGAAATAGCTTTTACGATGTCAGTCACAGTCATATCCTACTTAAAAACACGGAGCATGACTCACTCCTGGATTTAGGCTCCCTACAAAGTTTCTCATGAATACCCAAACAATCAAAAGTGAATGTTCTCACATTGTTCATGAGAAACCATACGCTCCATCCTACCACAGGGCAGCAGTAGAAAGATTGGAGCAAAAAAGAGAAGGACCATACAGAAAACAACAAGCAACATATGTTAAAACAAACCTCACAGGTCCCGATTTCTCCTTCAGTAGCCCATTCTCCACACCTTCTTTCCAGAACAGTTCAAAGGCACCTTCCTTCAGTGAAACTTGTAGTAAATCAAACACTACGCTGGGCAATTTCTTGTCCTTCTTCTCAGACTTGGCAGCACTTTGCAGAAGCTCTACAAGTCTAGAAGAAAAAAGAAAATAATGCAAGAGATCTGGCCTGGAACGGGATTGCTGTTCAAGTCCATCCTGCTGAACATTTCCCGAGCGTGGCAGGCTATGCCTCTTGGGAGAAAGGACAGAGCTTTAATTCAGGAACCTGCGTAACAGTCAGCGCCTAGCCCTGAACAGCACCTGCAGCAGCAAATACCGGCAAATATCAGAATGAAAGCCACATTTCTCTCACTGCTAGCCAAGAGACCGAGAATGTTGCACTTAATGCTCCTTATTTAAGAAGTTACCTGGGAATATTTTTCTCATTTACAACAGTAGGTGAGCCAAACAGCTTCTTCAGATTTTTAGGTTTCAGAACACCGGGGAATTTCTGTATGCCCACAAGCAAAAGGTGCAGGTTCTCTGGAGATGTGAAGGCTGAAGCGAGGTCACTTTGCAAGATGCCAAACAGGACCTCCTCAAACACAGCTTCAGGAACCTAGACAGGAATGAAGGTGAGAACATATGAGAAATATCTGAGGGCATTTTACTAACTTGCTGTGTAGTATATTAAAATACCCACATTGTAGGGCATTTTACTAAACACTTGCAGTGTTCTGGAAACTTTAGAAATAGTCTTTTTGGTGACATAACCAAAATAAATAATTGATGTGTCCAGTACTGCCATACAGTCCCAGGTGTTTAACCATGTGGAGTAGGACAATATGTTGTCATCACACAGCAATTCTGGTCAACTGACTCCAGCTGCAACTGTTCTCTTGCTGTCCAACTGCTCCTGTCTGTACAGCTGTTCAGCCCAGAGAGGAGGAAACATTCTTGTATTAGCTTTTAATCATATTTTACAAAAAAAGTTACTTGTTCCAATAGGATTTGCTGCTGAACAGCTCTGTTCAATGGTTTTAGAGAAAACTGGATCCAACGTTCTCATCAATAAAATAAGAAAAGCACAAAAACGGCTTTAATTTGTATTTTTTAAAGATTGGATTCAAAATAAATTTAAGCCTAACATCGAGACTAAATGACATAGAACACTTCCATACAAAACATTATTTCATTTTTATTTAATGCTGTTAGTCTTCACACCTACAAACAACATCTACATAAAAGAAGGAAATAAACTCTCTTCTTTTACTACATACTCAGAGTTCCCTTACTCCATGTCCTTACATCCTTTCACTTCCAACAGCCCAAAGTTCAACCTTAGGCCCAGGCTTGATGCATTAAAAAAGGTTTTCTCTCCAAAGTTTCAGTATATTCTCTTCAAAACAGCAGAAGGTCTAATGTACCACACAAGCAAGTCAACTGAGAAAAAACAGACTACAGGTTTGTCCATGATGAAATCAGACTAAGCTAAACCAGAGCATCCTTCACAGAATAAAAGCATCTGCCCACGGACAATACCGAGAACAGCTCCCACAGTTTAAACTCACTCTTCCACACACCCCCTTTAACTTTCAACTATGAACAAACTAAGGAAAAAGTAGTCCCTGAAGCAAAGTTCTCCCTCCTCCACCCACCACGTGCTGTGGCTGTACCTCAGACATGATGTCAATCACAGTTTTGCGAGGGAGATCTCTGAGGTGTGCTTGGTGATGAGCCAGCTGCTGGAGAAGCTGGATGCTCTCCAGCAGAGCTTTCCGGTCCTAAAAAGAAAAGATAAGCCAAAACCAGAGGACATATCTGAAAGATTAGGCTGAAGGCTCAGGTAATAATCCCCTCTTGAGACCCTTAGGCCTAATTGTAACAAAAAACCCAAACAATTGCTTCCTGATAGGCAACTTGGCTTTTCCCAAAACTGTGTTTTCTGGCTGTATATGCCAGCTTCCTTCCAGGAGAGGCAGGAACCTCCTGTACTACCTGACACAGTTCTTACATCTAGTCAGGAACAGACATTTAAAAGGCACAAAAATTTTACATTATTTATGGATAATATAAAAGAAATGAACTAAACCTGATGCTTCAAGGCCCATCTCATTGACTAGTCAATGCCCCAGTCTTCCTCTCTGCATCCTCTCTCCAGTTCAGACAGCCCCAGAACCAGTGCTGACAGACAACACAACAGGGTAATGTTACCTTAACAAGCCGGCCAGACTGAAACAGGGCCATAACTCCAAAAAAGTTTCCAAAAGCAGCATTTCTCACAAGTTTCTGAAAAGAAAAAAAAAAAAAGGTTAAAAATCCACATTCAGCTACAGCTCTGATCAGTGGAACAAGACATCTGGAAGATCTAACCTTGAACACCCTGCCATGTGAGGGTACATACTGAAAAGCAACCCCCTGCACTATGTTTAAGAACTGTCCTAGATCATCCTTGTGTCACACTGATGAATCTCAGCTAAAACAGGCCAGATGACAATGTCATCAACATCCAACTTTTATAAATATTTCTTTTATTTCATTACCATAATTTGCCTTAGCAAGAACCCCAAAACTAGAGTATCCAGGCACCAAGCGTTCAAACAGAGAACAAGTAACTTAAACTAGCTGTTGGCCAACACTGCTGTGAGCCACTCACCTTTTTCACTTTTTCCAGATTGTGTTTTTCTTTTATCTGTTCCAGGACACTGCACATTGGAATTTCCTCAAAAGCCTGTAAAACCTGAGGGGATGGATGGAATAGCTCAGCTTGCAGTTCTTCCATTTTACAAAGTTTCACCAAGTTCAGCTGAAATAGAGCTGAACAGTTGCTCGGCATAGCAGATGTGCTGCTTTATTAGCCCAGAATAAAGACAACTAGATCAGTAAAAGATGTGTCAGAATAGGAACTAGTGTAGACATAAATATACCAGATAATATCTTTTTTTTTTTCACTATACATGACATAGCAGGATTAATAATGAGAACATTTTGCTGCAATTGTATGACCCTTTAACAGAAGCAACAAAACTTTTCATCATCGGCAAGGCCTGATCTAAGTGGGAAGAACCCAGGCTCTTCTGCATTATCAGTTTCTTCAGTGAGATGAGGTCAGATCCCACAGGTGATCCCAACTGCTGGGACTCTGAACTATGTTACAGATTCAAACAGCAGGGAGAAAAAAAAAATCTTTCAAGGGTATGTTTAAGGGTTGCCTTTTCAGATCCCCCACAAAAACATCCCAACACTGGGAGCAAGTCAATTTTAAGAAGTCACAATAGTTTTAAATGCAGCATATTTGAAAATTTGGACAACTTTCTCAAATTAAGGACAGTTTTTGAAGCAGGACTGAAGTCTGTAGCATGAGTGCAATACTGGTATGGCTTATACCTTTATAACCGTACTGTTTCTAAAACAGACTCACATCACTTAGAACCGCAGAGGTTTTTTATCCTCGCTGCAAGATCCTCCTCTACCATCTCCATGCAGAAGCTGCCAGAGAGGAGCCCTCCAGCCTCCTTCCAAACAGCAAAGTGGGACCTCAGGAATGGACTGGGGACAGCAAGGGGCCGCAGAGCGCTCTGCCCTGCTCTGGGACACACTAACCTGCGCCAGGGCCAAGCTGAAGCCGGGGCGGGCGGCCTCGCGGGTGGCTCCCAGTCCTTCCACCAGCCGCTTCAGGGCGTACTTCAGCTCATCGTCCTGCAAGAGAGACCCAGCTCCGGCGCTGCCCAGGCTGCCCTGAACGCAGCGGAGCCCCGGC